CTGGGCACGCTGGATCGCCCAGTGCGCGCGGCTTCATTGCCCCCCTGTTGGCGCTGCACAGCCACGGCGACCAGGATCAAAGTAAGACCAGCGGGGCTCTCATGCAACGGCTGTCGCCCGCGAGCCCGCACATTCAACGAGTGGGCGCGCGTTGCGTCTGCCAGTAGGCCATCGGGTCGGACCGTCGGAACTCTCCCCCAAGCTCCCGCGGGCCCCGGGGCCGATGGAAGCCGACGAGAATACGCTGGAGGACGTCGTCGACGCGCTCCTGCCCACGAGTGGCGCTGTCCGCAGGATCGGCCGCGCCCCGCGCGGCTCCCTCGCGCGCCGGGCCCAGCAGCTGCTCGACCTAATCTCCCGGGGCAGGCGCGACGCCGACCTCGCCGACGTCGACGCCGGCAAGGGGGCTCAAGTTTTGAGCGCCAGCGGGCCAATCCCACGTCGCAGAGGTGCCGCTGCCTCTGGCGCTCCGGGCTGCAGTGCTCTACGCGCGGCTCGGCTCGCACGTCTTGCGACGTGGGCGCCGTCCGCGAGGGTTCGGCAGCCAGGGCCAGCCAGTGCAGTTTTGTTCGCGTGTATGTGGGGGCCCGCTTGGCTGTTTCGAACCGCTCTCGCGGCTCCCGCTCCTGCCCCCTCCCCCCCCTGCCCCCCCTGCCCGTTTCCTGCCCCCCCTCTCCTGCGGACGAGCGTTAGCGGTCGCGCTGCGTGTTTCTTGATGTGGAGCCCTCCGCCTGAGGCCCATTGCGCTTTATGGGTCGCGCAGCAGTCGATTGATCTCGCCGAACGTTTCCTGTCCTGTGTCTTGCTTTTCGGGCAAAATGGGCCGAACGGAAATGCGGCGTGCAATTGGGCATGCACGGCTCTGGCTGGCACGCCAACCTTCGACTCGCGGATGGCGTCTTGCTGGCCGCCACCATTTTCAGACAGGTAAGAAGTACGATTGTGGATGTCATGGGCGTTGCACAACCAACTGGCCTGGAAATGCACCCCGAGAACACCAATGCCTTACATTACATATAAGAGCGGCGGCCGCGAAGCCACCAGGAGCACGCAGTCGCCAATGGAAGCAGCATCGGCATATTGCCTTGTTTTGCTCCCCCAAAATATCGGGGACGACAGGTTATTCTTCGTGGCCCGACCGCGACGGAAATCGAGCCCGACATTAGCGCAGCACGGGAAAACGCATGCATGTTCAAAGAAGAGTTTATGACACGTTCGTATTCATTGAAGGATCGCCGACTGCTCTTCAATCGCGCTGTGACTCCTACGCTTCCCCATGGTGTTGGTTCTTGGACAATGACGTCTCCACTGGAATGATTGGTGCGGACTACACAACGCCGCGCGCTTACAATGGTTCTCGGATCGCAGAGACTCCGTCTTCGTGAAAACGGCGCGCAAGCACACGATCACGACCATTCCGGCAGCACAAACGACACGTCGGACACAGGAGGCAGCGCCACCGAGACCAGCGACTCCAGCACCACAACGACATCGAGCTCCGGCCCCCGAGACAACGTAGAACAATGGCTGGGCTGGTTCCGACGTGCGACGAGGCATATCGAACAATATTGCCACAGCTTGGGATACGAGGATTGGTGCGTGCAGCAACGGAGATTGCAATGGCGACCGCTTGTGGCCGCCATTAAGATGACAAGGGGAAGTGGAGCAGAAAAGCTTTACTCAGGGAACCAGCCGCTGCCAATGCACGTGCCCAGCGGCTACCGCACCGGCCCCAGGAAAGATGGGTCGGCGACGCGACAGAGTTCATCCGCACAACATGTGGAGGAGATTTGCGAAGTATTGGAGGACATCGGAAAGAGTTGGAAGATGGTTACGCGCACGCCAGAACAGCAAATCTACCCCCGGCGATTGAATGAGCGGCGCCCCGGCGCCACCTCCCAGCCCTTCGCGGGCCGCCCATGCGTGCGAGCTGGGAGTCGCCCCGCCTCGCCTGGCCACATTCTTTAAAAATGAAGGAGCTTCACGGATTGAGAGCTGGAAGTTTTCAAAATGTGGTTCCCGCCGTAGCGCCGCGCACATTCGTTGAAAATGCGAGAGTTTCACGGATTGTGGGCGGCTCTTTTTCAAAATGCGGTTCTGGCTTAGGCGCCGCGCACATTCGTGTCAAAACCTTGCAAGAGTTTCACGGATTCCCATCGTTAACGCACCAGAGAAGGTGTTTTAGAACGACGTCGGATCTTTCAGGACGCAACAATTCCATTGAGTCGCGGCGTCGACGTCCCAGGAAGTGCGTCCTGGCACGATTCAGGATCGTCAAGACGCAACCGTCCGGTTGATTCGTGGTATTGAAGTCTTGAGAATGGTGTTTGGCACATTCCAGAATATTCAAACGATTGTTTCCCAACGGCACACTTCCGTCAGTGGAAATGAATCCGTGTAGGGGCCTATGCAGACGGAGCTTGGAAGGAGGGAATATTCCACAATCGTCGCTGAGTCTTGGGTATACGCGTCCCCCTCCTCCTCCTCCTCCTCCTCCTCCTCCTCCTCCTCCTTCTCCTCCTCCTCCTCCTCACCTCCCTCCCACCCTCCCTTCCTCTCATCGTTCTCCTCCTTTCCTCCCCTTCTCACTCCTCCTCCTCCTCCTCCTCCTCCTCCTCCTCCTCCTCCGCCTCCGCCTCCTCCTCATCATCATCATCCTACTGCACGAAGGCGCACAAAAGGAATCGATGCCCCCCCGAGCTGGTAGAATTTGCAGAGATCCCTGCTGCAGAATCCTGCGCAGTGCTTCCCACAGGCGGGGACCACCGAGAGCGCCCGCCTGATGTGGCACGTGAGGTCGAAGGAGGGTTTCTTCACGGGTGATGTAGTCGTCGATGGCAGTGCCTATGACGTCGAGGACGATGCGCTGCGCAGGGCAGTGTGGGTTAGCGTTGCCATCAACAATAAGAGGGAGGTCATCGGCGCAGCCTATGGAGTGGTACCCGCACTGCCAGGAAGCGCAGGGCGGAGAGGAGCTCGCGTTCAAGATAATCGCGGCGCTCGGCCAGAGCCCCCTGAGGTTTCATTGTGATTGCAAGGGCACGGTCTGGTGCCCTTGCGGCCGATTCCCCGGGTCTGCCCCCCGCGGGCTCCATCTCAGGGCATGCGGCCACTCGGGGCGCGGCCGTCGTGGGCGCCGTTGGGTGGGGGGTCGCCTGGGCCTTCGCGGGGGGGCCTCCGTGGGGGCCTGTGGAAGAGGGGTCGTGGGCCAGGTGGTCGTGGGAGATGGTGGCGTAGCACGGCGGGGGCATTTTTTTGGTTTCACTTCGAGCGCCAAGGCGCGTGCATGCATGCATTCCACCTATCAGCGAGCGGAGACCGCTCACGCTCGCTGCACGGAAGCGCGGACGGGGCCCCAGGAACAAACCCCCTGATTAGGGAACCCTTAGATAAGGAACCCAGAGTCTGGAAGCTGGTGGAACTCGAATCGTGGATCGGCCATGGGTATTATCGCCGCCCTCATCAGATAAGGAACCCTTCAGGGTCTGAGGCGTCCTGGGCACGTTCCTTAACGAACGCCCCCACCGTAGGTGCCACAGCCGCACGCCATGATGAAGGGCAGCAGCAGGAGAGCCTCTTTGTTGCCGTGGTTGGCGCTGGCATCGGTGGCCCACTAGACCGCCGTCTGGTCAATCTTGTCCCTGATTGCGATGCACATGTGCGTGTGAGCCTCGATGGTGCCGCGCTGGTCGTCTGTGTTGCGGCCCTTGTCGCAGAGGTTTTACTTGAGGATGGCGGCCACCTCGACCCAGTCTTCGGTGCTGACTGGGTGGCCGCGCCGTGCGCCGCACGAGGCGGGCGCAGGCCTTGCGCAAAGCCTTCCCTGCGCGGGGAGGCCTAGTCGGCGTCACCCCAACACACTACTACTATGAGCGCGTCGCCCCCCCCCCAAGGGCGACGCGCGCACCGAGAAATCTCATGGCATATGCGTCGTGGCGGGCGCTTTCTGGCCGGTCGGGAAACCATATGCTACAAGATGGGCGTGCTAGATGTTCGGGTCGGACGCGCGCCTCCAAGGGGGACGCACAGTACTAGTGTGTCCTTCTGCGTCCCACCTGGGGGCGAGCCTGGGAAGTCCGCCGCACGGAGGCTTCTCGATGATCGGGGGCGCCACGGCCGCGGGCGCGCGCGCGCCGCCGCCCGGACACACGGCGCAACTTGGCCGGGTACAGCGCCCAGCCAGACGCCCTCCTGCGGGACCTCCCCACCCCTTGGGAAAGGGCTGAGCGGAGAGGACCCCCCGCGAGAGGCAGCGGCTATCCTCATCCTCCTCCTCGTCCTCCTCCTCCTCGTCCTCCTCCTCCTCGTCCTCCTGCTCCTCGTCCTCCTCCTCCTCCTCGTCCTCGTCCTCCGCATTCTCCTCCTCCTCCTCCTCCTCCTCCTCCTCCGCCTCCTTCTCTTCCTCCTCCTCCTCCTCTTCTTTCTCCTCCTCCTTCCCTCCCTCCCCCTCCCCCCCATGGGTCTCCGAATCCTGCTTCTCCTCATCCTTCTCCTCCCCCTTCCCATCCTCTCCCCTTGTCCTCCCCCATCCCTCCCTTCTTGCTCCCTTGTCCTCTCCCTTCCCCCCCCCGCCCTCCTTTTCCTCCTCCTGCTGCTGCGCCACTCGCTCGCTCGCTCGATCCTCATCATCCCCCACCCCTCAGGACGGAGGACGAGGAGGGACGGGGGCCAGAGGAGGAGAGGAGGGGGAGGGAGGGCAGGGGCAAGAGGAGGAGGAGGAGGGGGAGGAGGAGGAGGAGAAGGAGGAGGAGGAGGAGGAGGAGGAGGAGGAGGAGGAGGAGGAGGAGGGGGAGGGAGGGCGGGAGCAAGAGGAGGGCGGGGGCAAGTGGAGGAGGAGGAGGAGGAGGAGGAGGAGGAGAAGGAGGGAGGGCGGGGGCAAGAGGAGGAGGAGGAGGAGGAGGAGGAGGAGGAGGGAGCCGCGCTCGGGTGAGCATGAGCGTCTCTTTCCTTCCCTCCTCTGCGGCCGTCCCAGCCCCGCGCGGCGCCGGGGCCGCGGGGCCATGGCGCACGCTCCGCCTGGGAGCCCCGCGCCCGCGCTCCACGACGCCGTCGGGGGAGCGGTCGGCTCGCGGGCCGACGCCTCGGCGCGAAGGACGACGACAAACGACGGCGACGACGACGACGACGACGACGACAACGACGGCGACGACGGCGACGACGACGGCGGCGGCGGCGACGACGACGACGACGACGACGACGGCGGCGACGGCGGTGGCGGCGGCGACGACCGCGGCGACGCCGCCGCAGCCGCCGTCGCAGCCGAGCAGGCGCGGGGCGCGAAGGGGATCAGCCCGCTCCACGAGGCGGCCTTTGCCGGCGAGCTTGGCGTGCTGAGGCATCTCATCGAGAGCCGCGTGGACCCCCGTCGTCGTGGTTTTCAGCCTCATCACGATGATAATCCACCCTCGTCTTTCTCCTCCTCCTCCTCCTCCTCCTCCTCCTCTTCCTCCTCCTCATTGTACTCCTCATCCTCTCCCTTGTCCTCCTCATCCTCCCCCCTCGTTCTGCGCATCCACCTTTCCATCGTCCTCCTCCTACTCCTCCCCTTCCTCCTCCTGCTCTTTATCAGCATCCTCTTCCTCCTCCTCCGTCTCCGTCTCCTCCTCCTCCTCCTCCTCCTCATCCCCCTCCTCCTCCTCCTCCTCCTCCTCCTCCTCCTCCTCCTCCTCCTCCTCTTCCTTCTCCTCCTCCTCCTGGTCCTCCTTCGCCTCCTCTTCTTCCTCCTCCTCCTCCACATCCTCCTCTATATGTCATCCCTCTCCCGATCACCATTGTTGACATGCTCGTCCTGTTCGTCCTCCTCGCTCAACATCTTTCCCAGTCCTCCCGACTCGTTCCATCCTCGTCATCCCCCTCGTCCTCGTTCCTGAGGACCTCAACGCGAGGGACAGGCACGGGCAGACGCCGCTCTTCTTCGCACCGTGCGGGGAGGTATGCGCGCTCCTCGTCGACGCGAAGGCCCTCCTCCCCTTCCCACCGTCTCCCTCCTCCCCCCCTCCTCCCCCTCCTTGCCTTCCTCGCCCTCCTCCTCATCCTCCTCATCCTCCTCATCCTCCTGCTCATCATCATCATCATGATCATCATCATCATCATCATCATCATCATCATCATCATCATCATCATCATCATCATCATCATCATCATCATCATCATCATCATCATCATCATCATCATCGTCATCGTCATCATCAGCATCAGCATCAGCATCAGCATCATCAGCATCACCATCAGCATCAGCATCAGCATAAGCATAAGCATACGCATAAGCATCATCATCATCATCATCATCATCATCCTCATCCTCATCCTCATCCTCATCGTCATCATCATCATCATCATCATCATCATCATCATCATCATCTTCATCCTCATCCTCATCCTCATCCTCATCCTCTTCCTGCTGCTCCTCCCCTTTTTCCTCCCCCTCCTCGCCCTCCTCCGCCTCCCCCTCCTCGCATGCTTCCTCAAGTACCTCATTCTCCCCCGAGTGCGAGGTGCGAGTGATGAGGGGTTTACACGGCGGCAGTACAAAGCGCTCCGCGAGCAGAAAATGTGATCGGGTATCGTCAACCTCGATGTCGTAGTCGCTCGTAGGATTTACCGGCATGCCAGGCAGATCGCCAGGCACTGCCAGAGGGAGACGGAATTTCTATTGCCAGCATGGGGCTGCGATTCAAAACCTCCGCCCTGGTTCAGGCGGGCGTTCTGACCGCCAATGTTTCTCTGCCAGGTTCAATAACTGGCACTGGGATTTGCAAGTCACCCGATTCGTTTTTCAAACACGCAGATTGGCTCGAAGAGGCGCAAGCCCGTCGCAGCTGGAAGGCTGCGGAACCAGCGTTTCTGGAATGTTGCTCAGGCGGAGTGCTTCGCACTGTTTCGGGGGAGCGTAAGACCCGGGTTTGCCGGGACTCGGGTTCGCCATCGTTTTTTGACGACCGCGACTCGGATTTTGACGAGGTGGAGTTTCGTGGGATGTCTGCAGCGGGAGGCCTCGTCAAATTGCAGGCTCGGCCTCGTCATTTTTTTGACGACCTCGTCGGGGATTTCCAAGTCCCCCGTACACGGGTCTTACGTCTCCCCGACTGTTGTATGTGTCGGGCTTCCGGGCCTCTCGTGACACAGTTCGCTCGTCGTTTGCTCCTCCTCCTCCTGCCTGTACCTTCCCGGCCCTCCCGCTCCTTCTCCTCCTCCGCCTCCTCCTCCTCTTCATCCTCCTCCTCCTACTTCTCCTCCTCCTCCTCCTCCTCCTGCTCCTGCTCCTCCTGCTCCTGTGTCTCCTACTCCTCCTCCTCTTCCTCATCCTCGTCCTCGTCCTTCTCCTCCTCCTCCTCCTCCTCCTCCTCCTCCTCCTCCTCCTCCTGCTCCTCCTCCCCCTCCTCCTCTTCCTCCTCCTCTTCCTGTTTCTCCTCCTCCTCCTCTTCCTGTTTCTCCTCCTCCTCCTCGTCCTCTTCCTCGTCCTCCTTTTCCTCCTCCTCCTCCTGTTTCTCCTTCTCCTTTTCCTTTTTCTCATCCTCCTCATCACCACCACCACCACCACCACCACCGTCATCATCATCATCATCATCATCATCATCATCATCATCATCATCATCATCATCATCATCATCATCATCACCATCAGCAGCAGCAGCAGCATCAGCAGCAGCATCTCAGCATCATCAGCAGCATCAGCATCAGCAGCAGCATTGTCATCATCCGTAGCCATTTTGGCTCAAGGGGGGGGGCCGTTTTTGCGGCCGGCGGCGGGGGCCTCTCGCGCTCGGGGGGCCGGAGCGGGGCTTCTGCTCCTGGAGACGCCCGGGGGAGGCCGCCCCTCCGCGGGCCGTCCTCCGCGCCGCGGGGCCCTGAGGCGAGTTCGCTCCTCGGGGGCGGCGGCGGCGATGGTCACGAAGTCCGCGGTCATCGGCATCGACCTGGGCGCCTCCGAGTCCTACGTTGCCTACGTGGGGAAGGGCATCGTGGACGTCGTACAGAACGAGGTGTCCAAGCGCGCCACTCCGACGCTGGCTAGCTTCAACGACCGCGAGCGCATGTTGGGCGACCAGGCCCTGGCCCAGATTCGCTCCAACGCCAAGAACACGTGTAGGAACTTCAAGCACCTGTTGGGCAGGAAGCTGGACTCGCCCGACCTGGAGAAGGAGCACTTCTGGTCCCTGTCAAAGCTGGCGGAGACGGACGACGGGTTTGCTGGCTACGATGTCATCTACAAAGGTGAGCAACGGGCCATGTCCGCCACGGTCGTCACCGCCATGTACCTCACCAAGCTCAGGGAGATCACAGAGAAGTGGTGCCAGGCCAAGGTGGCGGACGCGGTCATCTCGGCGCCGTCTTGCTATTCGGACGTCCAGAGACAGGCGCTCCTGGACGCGGCGAAGATCGCCGGGCTGTCGGTGCTGCGCATCATGAACGAGCACACGGCAACCGCCCTTGCTTACGGCATCTACCGGTCCAACGACTTTGACCCAGAGAAGCCGATGACCGTCGCGTTCTGCTCCATGGGGCACTCGATATTCTCGGTGTCCATCGTGCAGTTCGTGCGTGGCCGGCTGACGGTCCTCTGCGAGAGGAACGACAAGGTCGGGGGGCGGGACCTCGACGAATGCCTGATGCGGGCGTTCGCCGCCCAGTTCAAGGCGAAGGTCGGGTGCGACCCCCTCTCGAACAAGAAGTCGGCTTACAAGCTCGAGGATGCGGTGACGAAGACGAAGAAAGTCCTCTCGGCCAACAGCGAGGCCCCCGTCACGGTGGAGTGCCTCATGGAGGATCACGACTTCTCCAGCAACATGCAGCGCGCCGACCTGGAGAAGATGTGCGAGCCGGCGATCGTCAGGGTCAAGGCCGTGCTGGAGGCCGCCAAGGCGGCATGCGGCTTGACGATGGATCAAATAGACTCTGTGGAGATGGTGGGCGGCGGGTCGCGCGTGCCGTGGGTGAAGGAGGTCTGCAAGGAGGCGTTCGGGAAGGAGCTCTCCACCACCATGAACCAGGAAGAGAGCGTCGCCAGGGGGTGCGCTTTGCAGGCGGCCATCCTGTCGCCGCTCTACAAGGTTCGGGACTTCAAGGTCGAGGACTCCTCGCCCTTCGCGGTCGAGATTGGCTGGACTGGCAGCGCGGCCGACGCGCAGGCCACGAAGGACGACGACTTCGGCGACACCCACATGGCTGGCGGGGAGGGCGAGACCAAGACGGCCACGGTTTTCCCGGATGGGTCCCTGATGGACTTGACGAAGATGATGACTTTCTACAGGAGAGAGGCGTTCGACGTCAAGGCGTTCTTCAGCGAGGGGAGCGCACTGCTGCCCAACACGCCCAAGGAGCTCGGTAATTGGCGGGTGGAGCTGCCGACCCAGGAGGAGCCCAAGAAGGTGAAGGTCAAGGCTAAGCTCACCTTGCACGGCACCTTCAACATTGAGGGCGCCCAGCTCCTCGAGGAAGAGGAGTATGAGGAGATCGTCAAGGAGAAGCGCGAGCTGCCCCCGGAGCCAGAGGGCAAGGCCGAGGAGCCCGAGGGGGCGGAGGCCGAGGACGACGACAGGGACAAGGGCGACAAGGAGGAGCCGAAGGAGCCGAAGGAGCTGGCCAATGACGCCGAGGCGGCGCCGGCCGCCGAGGCCGAGGAGGCCAAGCCGGAGGGCGCAGCGGAGCCCGCCGCGCCGCAGGGCGCGGGTGGCGACGAGGCCGCGCCAGAGGCCGCCGCGAAGGGCGAGGAGGAGAAGAAGGACGAGGACGGCGACGAGCCGATGCCCGACGCCGCCAAGGGCGGGGAGGAGGCCGGCGAGCCGTCGCCCGGCGCCAACGGGGAGCAGAAGGGCGACGCCGAGGAGAAATCCAAGAACGGGCACGCCGTCGAGCCGGAGAGGCCCAAGAAGAAGAGGAAAAAGGAACCGGAGAAGAGGTACGAGTGGATCGAGGTCGTGAAGAAGAAGAGGCGGACGAAGCGCACCGACCTGGAGGTGACCGTGGGGGGCCGGCCTGGGCTCAGCGACGCGGTGATCCAGGAGAAAATGGACGAGGAGACAGCCATGCAGGCGGACATGAAAGAGATCATCGAGACCGACGAGAAGCGGAACGACTTGGAGTCTTACATATTCCAGATCCGGGACAAGGTCACCGAGAGTGGAGAATATGGTCCATTCCTCTCTGGGCCAGACAGGGAAAAGTTTTCCACCGAGCTGACGCAGGCGGAGGACTGGCTGTACGACCACCCCGAAGGGACCAAGATCGAGTACATAGACAAGCTCGATGAGCTGAAAAATACTGGCGACGTGGCTGTGTGGAGATTCGAGGAGGCCCGCATGCGGGAGGACTGGATCAAGGCAGTCCAAGGCACAGTGGAGAACTACCGCAACGCCGCCCAGTCGCCTGGGGACAAGTACGGCCACATCGCCGCGAAGAAATTGGCGAAGATCGTCGGTGCTTGCAACGATCTCGAAAAGTGGCTTAGGGACACGCAGGCCAAGCAGGAGGCTATGCCAAAGCACGAGAAGCCGGTGCTGATATGCGCCGACATGGAGAAGAGGAATCAGGAGCTCGCCAGGGTGGCCGACGAGATCCTGAGAGAGCCGAAGCCGCCGGCGCCCAAAGCGGAGAAGAAGGAACCCAAGGGGGACAGCAACGACGGCAAGGATGGACCCCAGGACGAAGCCCTCAAGGAGGACGGGGAGAAGAAGGAAGAGCCGGCCGCGGAGGAGAAGGAGGCGCCGCCGCCGAACCCGCCGGCCCCTAAGAGGGACGAGATGGACGTGGACTGAGCAGCGCGCTCGTTTTGTCTGCCCTCCTTCCTCCCGCTCCCCCTGCGCTCATCGCCTCCCCTCGCTCCCCCTCGTCGCTACCTTCCGCTGCGTGCACGCTGCCTGTGGCCCGTGGGGGCCCGTCTGTCTGCGGGTGTGACGGCGGTGGCAGCTGCGGCCGCGCGGCCAGCCGGAGCGACGCATGGAGCATGGTAGCCGGGGGGGTTTGGCTGACCTCTCGGGGCGGTCCGAGGAGGAGAAAGGGAGGGGAAGGCGAGCGAAACAGGGTTGCCAGGGGCCGCGCCGTGGTGCGGCCGTGCAGCCCGCAGTTCCGCGGTAGGTCAGATCGTTGTGTGGTAGCCCGCGCATCACAGGCATGTTGGTATCCCACGACGCGGCGCCCATCCCTTCTCTCTCTCTCTCTCTCTTTCTGACACCCGCCTCCTCATCCCTCTCTCCACTCCGCAGGTTGCCGGGGCTAGCCGGCAGCTTGCGGGCCCGCGTGTACCCGACAGACCATGGTGGCTCTGCGCTCCACAGACGGGCACAAGCGCCTGCGGTGTGGAAGTAAAACAAACATCAACATTATCATCATCCTCTTCCTGCTGCTGCTGTTCCTCCTCATCCTACTCCTCCTCCTGTTTCTCCTGTTCATGTTCCTGTTTATCCTCCTCCTCCTCATCCTCCTGCTCATCATCAGCATCATCATTATCATCATCATCAGCAGCATCATCAGCAGCATCATCATCAGCAGCATCAGCATCAGCAGCATCAGCAGCAGCAGCAGCAACAGCATCCTCATCCTCATCCTCTTCCTGCTGCTCCTCCCCCTCTTCCTCCTCCTCCTCCTCCTCCTCCTCCTCCTCCTCCCCCCCCTCCTCCTCCCTCCTCCTCCTCCCCCGCCGCCTCCTACTCCTCGTCCTCCTCCTCCTCCTCCTCGTCCTCGTCCTCCTCCTCCGCCTCTTCCTTCTCTCCTCCTCCTCCTCCTCCTACTCCTCCTCCCCCTCCTCCTCCCCCTCCTCCTCTTCCTCCTCCTCCTCTTCCTCCTCTTATCTCAAGTTCCTCAGCGCGGAGATACTCGAGGCAATCCAGACGACCAGTGAGAGCGCCGCGCGCACCGATGAGCTGTCGCCTGAGCAGATTGCGGCCGCAGTCCAGCACATGGAGGCCATCTCCACGCTCTCAGGCAGCCATCGCGAGCTCGCCTGCTGGCTGCTCACCATCCTGGCGCGCCTCTGGAAGCTGACTCTGACTCGCCTGGACAGATGTCTCTTGCTCTTCTTGGTTGGGACGGAGATGATCACACAGACGCTGACGCTGACGCACTCTTTCTTCGCGCCGCTGAACTTAAAGCACAAGAGTATGACGAGAAGCATGAGCATGCCATTATTATTGCGGAGGTGGCTGCTGCCAACGACGATTCCGAGGATGAGCTGTGCCCCGAGCTGATAGAGGGCATGTGTGAAGCGGAGCAGTTTGACGGCCCGAGCGACAACATCGGCGAGGAAGAGATGTCCGAAGGCGAGGGCGCGGCTGCCTCAACCCTTCCTGCCTCTTCGGCTACACATACGACTGACGCGGGCCTCGCTGGTGCTGATGCTGCTGCTTGCAGCGCTGGCATGCCCGCTTCTCCCGTGGACGGCGTCGCACTCGAGAGCGGCGGCGACTACGACATTAACGACTCCATTAGGCACACTTCCGACCAGGTGCAACCCGACCCGCCTGGACTTCAGGTACCACCTGACGATGCTGTTCCGCGTGAACCTCCTGTCCCGCTTGTGGACCAGTTCTTGTCTGACGTCGCTGGACATGCTGCAGTGCCCATTCCACCTGAGGAGCGTGCTGGACAAGAAGGGGCACGTGCGTTGGGCCCCGCTGCTACTGGCATTGGGCATGCGGGGTCGGGTCCCGCTGCTGCTAACACTGGGCAGATGGGAATCGGGTCAAGCTTTGCCGACGACAGCGATACCTACGTTCTCCTCCAGCTGCTGGCCTCTCTCAAGTTCCTCTGCCTGGAGATCCACAGGGCAATTCAGACGACCAGTGAAAGCGGAGAAGGCAGCGCGGCACATTCCGACGAGCTGTCGCCTGAGCAGATGGCCACCGTAGTCCTGCACATGGACTCCCACTTCGTGCTCTACGAAAGCAATCGCGAGCTCGTCACTTGGCTGCTTACCCACCCTGTTGCGCTGCTGGAAGCTGGCGCTGACGTGTCTGAACAAATGTTTCCCCATCTTCTTGGGGGCGAAGGGGATGATCACACTGACGCTGATGCCGGCGCACGTCTTCTTGCTGCTGAACAAGAGGTACATACAAGACCATCACGAGGATCCTGAGTTTCCCTCGCTCCTCGCGGATGTGGCAGCCAGCAACGACGATTTCGAGGACGAACTGTACTCCGAGCTGATGGAGGACACTCGTGGAGCGGAGCGCTTTGACGGCTTGCACGACCACTTCGACGCGAGAGAGATATCCGATGGCAACGGTGCGGCCGCGCGCACTGGCTCGGCCTCCTCGGCTACTCCTTCGTGTGGCGTGGGCCCTGCTGGCGCTGATGATGCCGCCCGCAGTGATGGCCTGCGTGTTACCCCCGTCGCCGGCGTCACCATCGAGAACGGCACCCGCTACGACATCAACGACTCCTCCGAGCACAATTTCGACCAGCTGCCCTCCGACGAGGTGCCCCTGAGGCCAGGCCCCGCGGGGGCCGCGGGCAGCGCGGCGAGCGCGCCCTAGACAACGACGTTCGCCTCCCCCTCAGTGGCGTGGGTTCCTCCTCCTCACGGATGTGGGGAATCCCGAGAATCCTGAGATTTTGGCGTCTCATTTTTTTCGAGCTGGGCGTTTTCGCCTTTGTTCGGGTTCCGGGACGCTCACTTATCGATCCGGGTCGGAGAATAACGCAGAAAGGTGGGGTCCAGGGCTTTGGGCATGGTTGCTCGCTCACGATGTTGCCAGTTTTTCGCTGCGTCGGATCGCAGGGTACCTACAATGGAGGCCCATGCCAAGAAACACCCTGCCTCCAGAGTGCCCTGGCTTTCTTGGGTTTCGATGGTTTTGCCATGGTACGCGTGGCCTTCCCACACCAAAAATCGATGGACGTCCTGGGGTCTCAGGTTTGGGTTTCTTGTGGCAAGCTTCTTGTGGTCGGTCGGGCCCCCACTGTACTGTAACGTCGTGTCCCTCGTTCTCCCCTCCCGCGCCATGACGCCTGCCTGGCGCATCGGCCGACCGCGGCAGTCGGCCGCCGAGCGGCGTGCGCAGGCAGAGCGCGCCCGCGAGCGCGCCGCGCAGCCGCTGCTCCGACGGCTTCCAGCGCTGGAGCGCACGGGGTAGCCGCCCTGCCGTGTTCGTTGCTGCCCCGGCGGCGGCCCCCCGGTTTCATGGAGCTGATGGCGGTCGCTACAGCCTCGGCCGCACGTACAGGGGGGTACACATTGCTCGCTTCTCATTATTCGAAAATTCTTAGATTTTTTGGGGGACCAAGATCCTTTCATTTCTAATTGTTTTATGCTGGGCCTCTTCCTGGCCACTAGGGGGCCAGGAACAATAAGAAACGAGCACACTTCGAAATGAACACGATTAGATATGAACGACGTGTAGGGGGGGGAGGCTTCTTAGAAGCACCCCTGCTTCTTAGAAGGCGCTGGCCTTCTCTACCGACGTCAGGCCGGGGCCTTCTAAGAAGCAGGGTGTTTCTAAGAAGCCTTCCCCCCTCCTCCTACCCCACTCTGCGCGTCGCCAGCAGTCGACACTGATAGTAGGGATGATCGACATCTCAAGTCGAAGAAGAAAACGCCACAAACCTAAGCTTTTGGCGCTCCGCGCGGATTTCTTGGATCTGCGCTGGGACCCCAGAGCGGCGCCTCTGGCGCCGCCCCTGGCGCGCTCCGCGCGCCAGGGAGGGGGGTCCAGCGCGGATCCAAGAAAACCGCGCGGAGCGCCAAAAGCTCATGTTTATGGCGTTTTTTCCTTCGTCTATGATAGTAAGGATGATCGACATCCCAAGGGTGCCCTTGCATCCTTGTCTCTTCGGTCATGTTTGGTCCATCCTCAACCACTTTCGATGGTCAGCCCCGGTCGAAAAGCTTCGACACGCGCGTACAAGATCCTTGCATCTTTATTGCGCACCCTTACTTTTAACTTGACTGTCTGCTCGTCTTCCTGGAGACGCTCGTCTTGTTACTGATGTCCCCCCGGCGGTTTCCGAAGGTCAGGGGGCCCGTGGTGTTGATCTTCCTGGACATTGGGACACAAGCAAGGGCAAGTCCAATTGCGAGGAGGAGGGCACTAAGCCTGGCGTTGTACCACACTGCCGTGGTCGCACCACTCACGCTGCGGCCTGCCACCCCGATCTTCCGTCCAAAAGCAAGGGCAAGAGAAATGACAAGGAGAAGGACGCACAAGATCCGGCTGCTGTTGCTCCGGGTCTTCGGGCTGCTGAAGGTCTTCTCGAAACTCTTGCACATCACGAACTTCGTGATCGTAATCATTGGGCCAACCGCTTTGCGCCAATTGTTTGCGCTGATCCTTGGCCTGTTGTCGTCGACCCTTGGAACAAGGGCGACCTGGCGAGCGATCGAGACGTCAGTAACGCTGCTCGATGTATTACTTCGGCCTCTTAGGCCTCCTCCTCCGTCGCTCCTTCCCTTGCTTCCTCTCTCCCTCCTGCCCCACTGTCTGATCTTAGGTTGCGCCTCCGATATAGGCGGGGATCGAGATGAAGGATGACGCGGGTGTGGTGTGATGTGAACTCGACCTGAAGCTTGCCAGCTTGCTTGTCTGTCAAAGGAGCGAATTCTGGTTTGGCGCTAACCCACGCCCGAATTTAAATACATCCTCCTCCCACTCTTCATCCCCACGTTTCCCCGGGTGCAGCACATCCCCTCGGGCGTGGCCATGCGAGTCCTCCTCCACCTCCTCATCCTGTTCCTCCTCCTCCTCCTTCTCCTCCTCCTCCTCCTCTTCCTACTCCTCCACATGTTGCGAGTAGCTCTCCCTCGTCGCACCACCAGCCGCGCAGGTAGGTCGGACAGGGCGTGTCGATTGAATTGTGTTCACCCTCGCCGATCCTGAAGCTTGAAATTCCAGCAGCTACGCGGTTGAAGACCGAATGGTTTCCAAAAGGTGATTCTCGCGCGCACGCTCCTCTTGAAAGCGTCCAACAGCGACTCGGATGGAGGAAGGGGAGCTTTTGAATTGTGGTTCTTCTCTCTCTCTCTTCCTCTCGCTCTCTGCCGCTTTTGCGTTCTCCCTCTCTCTCTCTCTCTCCCTCTCTCCCTCTCTCTCTCGCCCTCTCTCCCTGTCCCTCTCTCCCTCTCTCCCTCCCTCCATCCCGCTCTCCCTCTCTCTCTCTCTTTCTCTCTCTGTCTCTCTCTCTCTCTCTCTTCTTTCTCTCTCTCTCTCTCTTTCTCCAGCCAGCCAGCGCAGCGCACACACGCCGGCACAGTTCCAAAAGCTACAAGGGTGGAGGGCGGCTCCTTCTCTCAAGGCGGGGCTCTCACCTGACATGTTCACACACTGCACGCCTCGATGGTTGCACGCTGGCCGCTGGGATCCCCAGAGCCCAATACATTTTTAGCCGCCTTCCTACTTCAAGGGTCGAACGGTTTTGCCTCGTCCCTCCTCTTCAGGGGTCGGGCGGAAACCCAATCTGCTTCCGACGCCTTCCTTGTTCTGGTTTCTCACCGCGACTTCCGGCCGACGGGTGCACTTAGTCGGCGGTTACACGCACGATCTGCTAACATTCTGCCAGATGACGCTTCCGGCTGCGATTTCTCGAGATGTACGGCCAACCGCGTGGACAAGTACAGCAGTTACGCCGATGGAGGGCCACTGCTTGTCAGAGCGGGGCTCTCGTTCAATGCCATTCTCGACATGCATTCTAGCTAGAATCATGGAGGCCAGTTTATTTTTCAAAACGGGGCTCTCGCGTGAATGGCGGATCCACCAGGTACTGGTCTTTCAAGGGGACGCTTCTTGCAGAGAGGAGAGAGGCATGTAGGGACACATGAGGAGAGGACTTGGAACGGGAGGGTGTATTGCAACATCGTTGATGCATCTTGGGTTTGATCTAATATTCCTCCTCCTCCTCGTCCTCCTCCTCCTCCTCCTTTCCAATCCGACACGTCCTCCTCGTCCTCCTCCTTCCTTCTCCCCCCTTTCTCATCCTGATCCTCCCTCGCAACGTTGCATGCGAAGGCCGACGCGAACCGGCTGAACAAGAAGGGCCAGACCGCGCTCCACTTGGCCGCCAACGCCGGCATGGAGGAGGTGGTGGAGTGGCTGTGCAGCAGAATGAGCCCGGGCCTGATCAACGCGCAGGACAGGCAGGATGAGGAGCTGGAGAAGGAGAACCAAGAGAAAGAGGAGGAGAGGAGAGAAGAGTAGAGCAGAAGACCAGGAGGAGGGGGTGGAGGAGGTGGAGGAGGACCAGAATGAAGAGCAGGAGGAGGCGGATGCGGAGGAGGTGGAGGAGCAGGAGGAGGAGGAGGAAAAAGAGGAGCAGGGAGATGATGATGAGGAGGAGGAGGAGGAGGAAGAGGAGGAAGAGGAGGAGGGGCCGTTGCCATTTTGGCTCGAGCTGTTTTGGCTCGCCCGCGCGCGCGCACCGCGCGCCCGGCGGGCTGGCCCCGTGCCCCCGTGACCGCGGCGCGGCCACGGGGCGCTGCCGTGACTCCCAGGGGTCTGGCCGAGCACGTGGCGTCTCGGGGGCCGCCCGCAGCACGGAGGAGCTCTCGCCGTGGGGCGCACGGCGGCGCGGCGCGCTGCTGGGCGCCGGCGGCGGGCAGCGCGCGATGCTGCGCCGCGCGGCCCGGGGACCGAGGCCGTGTAGCCCGGCAGGCTGATAACGTACGGTAGGTTTGCGTCGTGTCGATCAGCGGCGACCCCAGCGCGGGCGTTCAAGGTTGAGCGTCGCCGGCGACCCAGAATCGATCGATGTTGAACGATCGGACGTTGCGGCAGCGGCCGATCGTTCAAGGTTGAACGATCCCTGCGGTGTCAAAAACCAACGCTGGGGTCGGCACGACACGAACCTGCCGTAGATGGGTTCGGTAGCAAGTCATGGGAGCCTGGTAGAACCGTTTCAATTCCGTCTTCAGCGTCGATTCGCGTCTGGGGGTCGATGAGATAGCGCCGATGTAGCGTCGGCGAGCGTCGTTCATCGTCGGCTCAGGCTCGATTAGGTTCGATTCAGCGTCGACTAACGTCAGTTCGCAAGAGCGGACAAGATAATATGGGAGGCTCCCATGAGTTGCCACCGAATATGGGGCGTTCCAAAAAGGGCCTTGCCTTCGAGGATCGAAGGGGACGTCGTCTCTTCCTCGGTGGAAGGGCGGCGGAAGGCTGGCGGCAGTTCAACGAGGCCGCCTCGTGCAGGTGCCGGTGGACGTGAATTATACCGCCTACGACGCCACCAAGTACGACACTTGCAAGTGCCACGATGAGCACGAGAGCTATTACGACTACGACGCAAACGGCTTTCTCACCCTGCCGTCTACCATGTCAGCGCTGCAGGAGAGCAGCCTGCGTGGTTGGACCAACAGTGCAGACAACGGACCAGCAGCGGAGACACGGGCCACAGCAAATATCCCGACTGTGGGACACTACGACCTGGCAGCCGACGACTCCAATGAGGACCTCGAGGAACACGAAGACACCGTGCCCTCGGGGCCACAAGCCGAATTCCGAGAGCAACGTTCGAAGCCACGAGAGCTAGAAACAGACCAACGAGAACCACCGGCATAATTACGAAGGCCACAAGCGGAGCTACCAGGACAACCACTCAAGCTTCGAGGACCACGAGCAGAGCTACGAGGACCAAAAGAATTTGGAGGATCCCCATCAGAGCTAAAAGGACAACAAGCCGAGGTACGAGGGCAACAGGAAAAACTTCCAGCGCTACCAGACTACTACGAGGGCCGCGAGCAGAGCTGCGAGAGCTACCAGCTGAGCTACGACGAGGGCCACGGGGAATAGCTTGGAGAGCCACCTACAGAATTACGAGGCCCGAAAGCTGATCTGCGATGGCCGCAAGAAAGAGTGCCAGGGCCACCTGCTGAGTGTCCACGGCCACCAGCAGGGCTGTGAGGGCCGCGAGCTGAACTGCGGGCACCGCAAGCTGCGCTGCGAGGGCCACGGGCCGCGCGACGAGGACCTCGAGTTGAGCTGCGAGGACCACCCGCAGAGCTACCAGGGCCACGAGCTGAGCAACGAGGCCACGAGCAGAGCGTCAAGAGCCACTGGCCGAGCTACGAGGGCCGCTGGCGGAGCTGCCAGCGGCACTTGCAGAGCAACCGGAACCGCGAACGGGCATGCGAGGGTCACGCGCAGAGCTCACTGGGCACCGCACGAAGCCACAAGGGCCACCAGATGACCGCGCGGGCCGCCAGCTGAATTGCGAGAGCCATCTGCAGGGTTACGAGAGCCTCAAGCAGAACCACCTGGGCAACGCGCGAAGCTGCGGGGGCAGCCTGCGCAGCCGCTTGAAAAATCAGAAGAGCTACGCGGGCCACTCTCTGAACTGCCTGCGCGACCCGTTCGGCATCATGGGCCACCTGCAGATCCACCACCTCCAGCGACACTTGCAAGGCAGCGGGAAGGGGGGGGGGGGCAGAGCCGATCGTTGCCAGCGACGCAGATCAGGGCGAGCGGGGCAAGGACTACTACGATTGTATCGCAGTGGTCCGCGCGAGCAGACGCTGCTCGTTCGTCTGACAGATGCGCGGCGCTGCGGCCCGACGCCCCGTCGAGCCCCGGGCGCCCGCCACCGCGTCGCGGAAGCGATGGCAACGCCATCCGACGCTTCATCTGTAAGAAGGCGCAACGACAATGTGGAACTGGCCAACCTTGAGCCGCAGTGGTTTTGCATGTCTTTTCTTCTGAGTGCCTGATCAAGACCGCTACGAGACTGTTGCCTGCGACGTTCGATGCGGCGCGCGGTGCGCCGTTGCTGGCACCACCCCTCGGCGCCGCGATTTGCTTCGCGCGCGCGTCGTTGCGGGCGGTATAAGGGGTGCTCCGAGTGCTCCGCCGCCCGCCAGGCACTGCGTCGTCGGCATACGCAACGCCATTGATTGGGCGGCCCCGCCGCTGACCCCCCCTCCGCCCACCCCCGCCCTTTCGGTCTTGTCGGGCGCGGCAGGGCGGCGCGGCGCCCCCCCCCCCTTCAGAAACGGAGAAAGGCAGGTTTCGCTCGATCGCCCGCGCTTGGGCCATCGGGCCGCTCGGAGCCTCCGCGAGGCGGTCTCGGGGGCGCGCCGCGCGGGAGGGGTCGGCCTCTTCCTGCCAGCGCGCGGCGAATGCTGAAAAAAAGGGCTCGGCCGCCGCGGGGGGGCGCCCCGCGTCGCGGCCGCCCAAGTCGCGGAGGGGGCGCGAGATCGACGCGCTTGGCCCCGCGGCTCGGCGGCGGCGCCGAGTCGCGCCGGGCGCGGCTGCGCGCTCAGTCCGAACCCCCAGCGGCGGCGGCGAGATGGCGCGGATTGGCCCCGAGGTTCGGGCCTCGCCCGCCACAGGCGGGCTGCCGAGGTCGGATCTCGGCGGCGGCGGGCCCTGGCGCGCGGCCGGCCCTGAAGACCCGCCATCTGCGCCCAGCCACTCGGCGGGTTTGCGGCTCGCGTCGACCCCCTCGGCGCTGCACGAGACGCGCGCGGCGAGTCGTCCAGGGGCTGCCGCTCTCGTCGACGAAGCCCGCCATCCCGCGGCTGCCGCGGGAGCCGTTCGCGACGCGATGAAACGTCGCGCTGTGGAGCGGGCCGTCGTTTCCGAGAGCGCCGAGCAGGGCGGGCTCGACGGCGGCGACAGTGGCGGGGGCCCTGGCGAGAGCGCCTGCGGCTTCGCAGGCGGCGCGGCCAACGGCGTCGACAGCTTCGCCGCACCGGGCGCGCCCGCGTAAATTCCTCCACGGCGGGACTTGCCCCCCCTGGAGGTGCAACTGATGCCTCGTAGGCTTCTCCCTGCCAGCATGCGCGCGCCCGCTCCTGCGCCTGCCCCCCCCGTCGCGGGCCTTCCGCGCGACTCGCGCTTTTTTTCGGGATGGGCAGCTTTCTGGCGCGCGCGGGGGGGTCCGTTCGCTCGTTCAGGCTCCTTGGCGCAGGGGGCCGCGGCGGCGCGCCATCGACGGCGTCGGCCGAGGCCGCGGCTGTTGCCGGCGACCTGGGGGCCTCGCGCATCCGCGAGGTCGAGCCCGACTACGCCGCGGCCTTCATCGGGCCGCGCCGTGGGCCGCCAGCCCGAGCCTTCGGTTCGCCGCGATGCTCTGCTCGAGGTCACTGGCGGAGGCGCTGCGTGGGTTCCATCCGGGGATCATTGCTTTGCCGATGGGGTTGCTGCCTGGCCGGCGAGCGCCGGCGGAGGCGCTGCTCGGGCCCCCGCTGGGGGGCGCTGCCCTGCCGCGGCGGCGCCTGCCATCGAGGGCGCGGAGCGCAAGCAGATGCGACGCGGCAGAGGGCGATGCGTGGAAATCCCCATGATTGGAGGTGCTGGAGGCGTCGCTCTTTGCGCTTGTTGCCCTCTCGGATATTCTGGAAGGGCGGCTGCCTCGTCGCCTTCTCCTGCCAGGCTGGCGCGGCGCGCCGCGGGCGGCCCCCGCGCCCGTGGGGGCGCGCGGCGTGACCAGCACTATCTCGATTCCATCTCGGACATTTCGGACACGGAAACCAGGGCCCCTGGCGGCTGCCAGGGGCCCCCACGAACGCGACGGCCGTCGCGCGCGCGCCCCTGGGCGCGGGCGCGGACGTGGGAGCGTTTTGGATCGCTGCATAGTAGTGGTGGCGGTGGCGGTGGCGGTGGCGGTGGCGGTGGCGGTGGCGGTGGCGGTGGCGGTAGTGGTAGTCGTAGTCGTAGTCGTAGTCGTAGTAGTAGTAGTAGTAGTCGTCGTCGTCGTCGTCGTCGTCGTCGTCGTCGTCGTCGTCGTCGTCGTCGTCGTCGTCGTCGTCGTCGTCGTCGTCGTCGTCGTCGTCGTCGTCGTCGTCGTCGTCGTCGTCGTCGTCGTCGTCGTCGTCGTCGTTCGTAGTAGTAGTAGTAGTAGTAGTAGTAGTAGTAGTAGTAGTAGTAGTAGTAGGTGGTCGTCGTCGCAGTAGTAGTAGTAGTAGTAGTAGTAGTAGTAGTAGTGGTAGTAGTGGTAGTAGTCGTCGTCGTCATCGTAGTCGTAGTCGTAGCATTAGTAGTATTTGTGGTATTAGTAGTAGTCGTCGTAGGAGTAGGAGTAGTCGTAGCAGCAGCAGTAGTGGTAGTCGTCGTCGTAGTAGTAGCGGTAGTTGTAGTAGTAGTAGTAGTAGTAGTAGTAGTAGCAGTAGTAGTAGTAGTAGCAGTAGTAGTAGTAG